CCCTGTGTAGCCCCCCCATGTAATCTCCTCTGGGGATGGGGGTGTGCGCCCTGCCCCCTGTGTAGCCCCCCCAGGGAGAGTGTGTGTGCGCCATGGATCCCCCTCGTCTATATTCCTCCACCCCATGGGAGTTTGCGTGTATGTGTATGGGAGATGCATCAAGGTCCCCCTCTTCCTCCCCCAGCTTGTGCCCTTTTGCTCTCCAGGGAAGGGAGTCTGTGAGCCATGGGTTAGAAAAGTGTATTGCTGCTCTCTTTCCAGCTGGGAATGCTGAAGCCCTGTAAGTGACTCCCTTGCCATCATATGAAACCTTGGTCTACCTTGATTGTGACTAGGGAGGGAGTTGCCTTATTTGGCTGCAGTGTTTTGTTTTTTTTCCAGATTGTCTGTCTGGTCTGGGAGGCAGGAGGCATACGTGATGCTGTTACTGCTAACCATAGACTTTCCAGAATCGGGCCTCTTAGTTCCATTCTCTAGTCTGTGCTTTAGCAGGAACTGATTTATGAGGCTCAATACACTATAATAATCAAATGCAGTTCTAAATGGGAGAGACATTCAGGCCAGGCCCCTTGACAGTACCAGTATTTTTATTTCTGGATCTTTAGGTAAAATTTGATAAAGCGTTTGAAATAGAAAAAATATAGTTAGAGAGAGAAGGGAGATCTGACTCATTTCAGCTGGGATTTGGAATGAGTTAAACAGTCAATGGGATAGTGTGTGATAATAGTTTTTTAGTTGGTGGGTGTGGCAGAGAAAAAGGTTTGTGCACCAACTATGTTAAGGATATCACTGCGATGAGTACAACATAAATGCCTTGCTAGACTGAGCCCTGGTCTACATGTCAAATTTAGATTGACATAGCTACATCCCTGAGCACCGTAGTTAAGCCGACCTAACCCGTGGTGTGTGGCTAGGTCGACAGAACAAACGACCTAGCTACTGCCACTTGGAGAGGTGGATTACCTGTTATGACATTCTGGGGTGCAATCCAGATCAGTGAGGGACTGTGTCACCCCTGCCCTGCAAACTTGGATGCCTTGTAATGCTGTGCTACTGTAGCTCCCAACTGAGCTGCTCACAAACAACCTTCCACCATGCAGATAACACTCTGAATGTCTGTGTGTAGCTGCAGCCTGCCAGTCAGTCACACTCCGGCTTCTACCAGCCTTGGTTACCACTTGCATGGTGACCCCAATACACTCCCAGTCCTTGCTTTTCCTCCAAAACATGAGTTCTGCACTGTCCAGCCCTCTCCTGGATAATCCAGATATATTAGGTCAGTTGCTCCTCTATGGGGATCAGTATACAACAGTTTGCTACCATAAATGGAGTTACCCACACAGTTCACAATGCTGGATTAGTTTTGATTAAAGAATAAAACAAGTTTTCGAGGAGTTAGGTTTTAAGTTAGTACAAGAGAGAAAAAGATAAAATTCTTCCCATTACTAAATTTAACCCACTAGACTTGGGTTCAGATAAAATTCTTACCACATGCTCCCAGCAGCAGGGCTGACCAGTTTTCAGGTCAGGATCTCTCCCAAAGTCTAATGGCTGCTGCTTTGTGTTCTTAGGTGAAAAAGAGAGAGAAGGATAGGGAGAGATAACTTGGGGTGTTTATGGACCTCACTTTTATAGTTCAGTCACCCTTTGAAAAGCATTTCGCTGAGGGTTACCCTTAGATAAAGTTAATTCCCTCTGAGAGAGTGGAGTCAAGGAGTATGGTGGTGAAAGAGGTTCCACGCTGTTGTTTGCTAAGATGCAAATCTGTTTGTTCCAGCCCCCATTGCTTGCCAAAGAATGGCCACTTGATAGGTGATTGCCCATCAGATTTGGTGACACTTGGCTAGCGGCATCAGCTTGTCCTTTGTCTTTGAGAAATAGGTTTGCCCACTCCCCAGACTTATCTGGTAAACCCACTTCAGTCATGATTTCAGCTTGTGTTCATAACTTTACATATAATGTTGCTACATACATTTCATCATGATATTATTGATCAGTGCATTATTAGTTTTCAAATGATATCTCACAAGGCATATATAATAGCATGAAGGGTGTGGAAAAACTTCTTCAGTTGATGTAGGAAGCGTCTACACTATGGCAGTACTGTGACATAGCTTCAGTACTGTGCCTGTGCCGCTGTAGCACCCGTAGCGTAGACATGCCCTGAGTGGGGAGGGAAGTAGGGACACACAAGGCCAGTGAGGTTGGCTGGAGCAAGCACTAGGAGAGTATTAAAGACTACGAGGACAATTTTAAACTGGATCCTGAAGCGAATGTAGGAAGCCTGAGGAGGAGATGGAGGATGTAGCTGCTCTGTATGTGTGCAGTTCTGCACATGGTGGTACTTGGGAAGATGATAGGGGAGAGAGCTGAAGTATAATGAAGAGCGGAAGGGAGGTATGAAGGCCTGGGTGAGGTTTCAGCAGCAGGGAGGAATGTGATGAAGTTAATACTGCCGCCAACAGAGTTCATGGTCTCCTAGGCCTTGTCCACATACAAACTTGGACTTGTTTAACTAAATCAATGTAAACCCCTGTATGGACACTCTTATTCTGGTTTGAGAGTGGCTAATTTGGATTAGTTTAAATTGGTTGGAAACAGGTTTAACTAAACTTTGAAGTTGATAGTCATGAATATAAATCAAAAGCTAGGAATTGTAGAAAATTAATAAGGGAAACAAAGGGACACAAGGAGAAATCTTTGGCCAGCAGAGTTAAGGACAGTAAGAAGGCATTTATAAGTATTGGGAACAAAAAAGAATCCTAACAATAGTACTGGTCCATTACTAAATGGAAACGCTAGAGTGATCAATAATAATGAAGAAAATGCAGAAATATTCAATAAATATTTTTGTTCCACATTTGGGAAAGAAACAGGTGATGAAGTCATATCATATGATAACACTTTTCCATTCCACTGGTCTCTTAGGAGGATGTTAAACAGCAGCTACTAAAGTTAGACATTTTTAAACCAGCAGGTCTGGATAACTTGTGTATAAGAGTTTTAAAAGGCTAGCTGAGGAGCTCACTGGACTGTTAATGTTGATTTTCATAAGACTTGGAACACGAGGAAAGTTCCAGAAGACTGGAAGAAAGCAAGTGTTGTGCCCATATTTAAAAGGGATAAACAGAATGACCCGGGTAATTATAGATCTGTCAGTCTGACATTGATTCCAGGCAAGATAATGGAGCAGCTGATATAGGATTCGATTAATAAAGAATTAAAGGAGTGTAATATAATTAATGCCAATCAACACGAGTTCATGGAAAATGGATCCTATCAAACTAACTTAATATGTTTTTGGATGAGATTACCAGTTTGTTGATAAAGATAATAATATTGATGTAATATACTTCTGTAAGGCAGTCGACTTGGTACTGCATGAAATTTTGATTAAAAAACTAGAACGTTACAAAATTAACCTGGCACACTTTAAGTGGATTAAAAGCTGGCTAACTGATAGGTGT